ATTCCTAATCTCATTTACTCTAAATACAGCTTAATATAATGTGATATTAATTACAAAAACAAATTTATTTGCAAACTAAATATAAAAATGTAATTGTAGCACGCTCTTTTTTTTTATAAAAAAACGATTTATGTGATTTTGCTAAAATTTGGTAAGTTGACCCCGCTCTATAGGATAATAAACCCCATATCAAAATTATGAATAATATCAATCCATTGTCGTAAAACTTGTTTTTTTTAGTAATTATTAGGTAGGAAATATTATTTGTACTTTTAATATTTGAAAGATGTAACGAAAATCTTTTAAAATTTTTAATATTATTTTTGTGTGTGTTAGTATAGTCTTTCCGAAGTCAGTTGAACATGTATAAAAACTCTTAGCAATAAAATTTAATGAGTTTCATAGGCGTCCCTAAAAAAGTTTTCTGCTAAAGGTAAAAAATTATAATAATTTGTAGATATACCGTGAGCGGCAGTATAGAATATATTTATTTAAAAATTATATTTTTAGTTGCGCATTTTCTGAAGCAATTTTCATTTATACAGGTGGCTCAAAAAAAGTTATGAAATCAAGGCCAACTTTTTTAAATGGATACCCCACTTTTTTGTATTTTTATTCAATTCTCCATGGAATTCTGAACTTATTTTATGTAACGTAACATATACCTATGTTAACCGTTTCCGAGATATTGGCGTCATGAATATAGAATATGGAAAATGTTTAAAAATTACCCGGAGATTTACCCTGCTGATGGTTTTAAAATAAAACCACGTTTACTTTTCCATCTTAGATTTGTGTGGTTCACAGAAAGTTGCTTCAAATCAGAAAAATTCATAAGAAATAAGTGGTTCGGTGATTTATTTTGAACATTAGGACGCAATGACTTGAATGTAAAAAATATAAGTGAGGTATTTAGGTATAATTTAATTAAAAACGCATAATTTTATTGAATAAAATAAGATTTTATTAAATGTCACTATTTAAATTACGAGCCAGGTTACTTTACAAATCTTTAGCACGGTTTCATGATTTTTTTTGTAAAGAACAAAAAACTTAAAAAACTCTCCAGAAAAACACGCATTGTAGCCGTCGTCAAGCAACTAAATATTAAATAGGTAACGTCAGTCAGTTGAAACTGATGTACCTTGTTCACTACTACTATTTTTTAATATTTAGGACAGTGCACTTACTTAACTAGATGGCGCATCTAACAGAAACGCAGCGGAAGAAATTCTAATTTATTTGGGACACGGTGACAAAGCCAGAACACAACAAGAAGTGTGAGATATATTCAATAACAAGTATCCAGATCATTCAATCAATCAAGCCACTAAGCAAAATTGCCAAGAAATTTCGAGATTTGGTCACATAAAAGACATCCCCAAAACAGGTCGTATGAAAATAGACGAGGACATTAAGTTAAATATCTTATTGCAGTTGCAAGAAAATCCTCAAAGCTCGAGCAGAGATATTGCTGGGGGAAATGCAATTTCCCAAAGATCAGTTTTGCGTATTTTGAAGGAAGAAAAATATCACCCGTACAAAATTCATTTAGTACAAGAACTCAACGAAGATGATCCTGATCGCCGCATCCAATTTTGTGAAACTATTTCAACATTATTCGACCGCAACCCACGGTTTCATCGGCAAATCCTTTCTCAGACGAGGCAACTTTCCGTTTGAATGGTATTATTAACCGCCAAAACTGCAGGTATTGGAGTCAAAACAATCCTCATTGGATGACTGAGGCACATACTCAGTACCCATAGAAATTGAATGTGTGGGCAGGCATAATCAATGATCAGGTTCTTGACCCATTTTTCTTCGAAGAAAACCTCACGGGAGAAAGGTTTTTGGCCTTCCTTCAGTTTGATCTAATTCCCACCTTCATTCAAATTTTTCCAAACGCAAATGAACCTGACGTGACAAGCGAGACCTTGTATTTTTAACAGGATGGCGTGCTACCTTATTTTGCTCGATCAGTCCGAGGTTATTAAGACGAATGTTTTCCTGGGCTTGGATTGGAAGACGGGGACCAATAGAGTGGCCTCCGATCTCACTCCTTTGGATTAATTCTTATGGGGTTATTTAAAATCCAAAGTTTATGTAAATCCACCGCAAAACATCGAGGACTTAAAAACCCGAATCAGGCAGGAAATTAGGAATATTGACAGAAACGTACTAAATAATGTTCAAGATGAGTTTGTACATAGTCTTGGGTATTGTCGAGAAACCATTGGATGGTGATTTGAACATTTAATTTAACTCTGTTTGTTTGAATTAGTTTATAATCCTGAATTTTTTGCAAATTTTTCTTACAGTAGCTTGAATGATTGTATGATTTGGATATTTGCTATTGAATATTTCACATTATTCTTGTTGTGTTCTGGCTTTGTCAGTTTGTACCAAACAAATTAAAATTAAGAATTAAATTCATTAGCTGTGCTTAAATTTCTAGTCAAACTTAATTCTGTGTGAGATATATTTTCGTAGCAACGCGTCGATAAATTTTTTATCCTTTAATTTTTTGTGACTAGTTTAAAACCGAATTTCTAATCGTCCGGTATATGCAACTCATCAGAACGTGAATCAGACTCCGCACGGGTGTCCGACGTGACGTGGACGCACTGACGCGTAATCCTGGTGCTCCTGGCAGCATATCTGTCGGAGACATACGATCACATATCCACCCCTGACGCATACGTAGGGACCGCCCGACTCAGAGCATTATACTTGAGTAGTAAATGACCCAAAAGAATAAATATCCTATTGAAAATAAGATACGAGAAAGTGTAAATGTTATTATAGATTAAAAATTCGAATGTAACGAGCAGAGTTGCCAATGGCTTCCGGATGAAATACCCTTTACAGGATTCGCCATTACCCACAAATACCCACATTACAATTTTTTTACAAGGCGGCACATATAATAATCGATCTCTACTAGATTTCAAAGAATTAAAATAAAACAAGGGATCTATACAGTTTTCTTTTATTCATTTTAATATGGCATGTTTAATATTTACAAACATTAGGTACTTAGCTAAGTATTGCACATATTATATTATAGTACATTACAAAAATACTTTTAAACAAAGGAAAAATATATTAGAAATAATAAACAATAAACCAAATTCTACAGTTTTATTAATACTCATTTTTTTGTCCAAATATTAGTATTAAACATTTCTTTATCTGGTTCAAAATTTAATAGGCCACCATTTAATTTAATCCCTTCTTTTGTGTGTAAAAGAGCTTTTATTGTTGAATTATCTAAATTCGTACGTGTATCTCTTTTTATATCATTTAAATTGCTAAAAAGTCTTTCTACTGATACGTTCGAGAATGGTAATATAAGTAAAAATGAGATAACTATTTTTAAATTTGGAAAAACTGGCTGGTTTATTGAATTCTTTAAATTAAAAACCATAATCCAATACTTTTCTGCATTTTCGCAATGTTCTGATAAACCATGCATAGAAAAGTCTAATAGAGCATGTGCTTTCCACTCTTTATCGAGCTCCTGCGCATTGACATAATTTTTTAAAATAGGAAACCTTTCTAAAACTTTTGACAAGCTTTTTATCTGAAATGCTTGAGCCTGTAAAGGATTTACTACTTCTATTAAAGTAAATATTTCATCCTCAAATTTAAATCGAGTTTTAATTTCACGAATAATTTCTATATAAAAATTGCGGCAACTTGTATAAAATCTTGAAAGTTCTTCTGTAGAAACAGATTCCTTTCTAATAGCATTTAAAGATTCTGTTGCAGCAATACCTAAATATATTTTTTCGTTCTCTAACAAAATACGAGGATCATCATGATTTATTTGAAATATATTTGTTGTTGCTTTTATTACAGGAAATTTCACATAATTTTACAATGTTTTCAACAAAACTTCCGTTTCAGGCTTTAACCTATACAAAAGGGGACTCTCCGTTTGAAATAATGTGTTAAAATCATTTAGAAGACCCAGGACATAAGACATGAATTCTAAATATATACGAGTAAATTTATTTTTTATTGTTGCAAGCATGTCTTCAGTCGTCTTTGAAGGGTCACTAAAAACCGATTCGGTGAGATAAGATTCTAGANAAGGCTAAAAAATAAAAAAACTTTCCAGGTTGCAAATTTGAAATTAAAAAAAAAATATAGATTTCAATGTATTATTATGAAATCTACCACGAAAAAAATCAGTGCGATTGTGGAAGATGCTCGGAATCGTCCAGACTAATAATTAGTTAATTTGTTTATAAGACCATAACTTGTAAACTATTCAACTTACCGATTCCAGATTTCGTTTGAGACAGTGATAAGGAATTAGAGGATGCGATGCCAAAACGTTCTGGTAATAATAACGTAGTGTATAAATGTTAAATTCAAAAGTCATAAATAAACTTATGTTTATAACTTTTGATCTAATCAATATTTGTTGACGTTCGAAGTCTAGTTTTGTAGATCTTTTGAAGACGAAAAAAGTACTTTACTGTTTTCTCGTGGAAATGAACGGAAAAAAGTTATAAGCGAAAAACGTGAATTTACGTAAAAATTATACAATTAACCAGCCTGTAAACAATCCTCCCCCCATTTTTATGATTGTGGAAACTAATATGTTATTGTACATAATATTTAGCATCTATAGTGATAAATTCAGCTTGCCGAAACAAAAAGTCGCGTCCAACTCTATATTTCTTGGCCTACCATGCATTACCTGATTTAGTATTCAATAGTTAATATAACGTGCCAAAGAGCAATACTTGGCACGTTATATGGGTGGTGGCAGGTGGTCTGAAATTTGCTTTTTAATCAAATATAATTTTGTAAGAGATTATAAATCGCATAATTCGACATTTCAGTTTCGTAGGAAAATTTTAAAGTATAAACATTTATGGGAATTTGAATGACGAATTACGTATTACTTCAAATGATTGGATGTTTACAAAATAATTGGAAAATGAACACTATCATCTTTCCAACTATGTTTGGGTTCACTTTAGATATAACCTTTCAACTTTGATTGTAATATACATTATAAATGAAAAACACAGTATTTACATACATATTGAGTTAAACATCAGGGCGCTGCGGTAAAAATGACAACGTAAGTAGTTTTTTGTCAGCTTAAATTTAGTTCTAGTTTATGTGAATATTTAACAGATGCCCAATCGCTGAGCTCGTGACCGGACCATTTTTAATTTTCCTAATTTTTTGGTGTTATTTAGTACTCATTTAGAGTATATTTCGGGAATTTTTTCAAATTTTCATTTCAACCCCTCAAGTAGTTATGGGCATTTGAATATTTGGGGTAAAAAATTTTCAAATACATGAAACTTGGCAAAAACTAAAGATGCCATCAACTTTTTTTTTCATTTTGTTCGTTTTGAGATGTAGTTTTAAAAAATATATATAAAAATAATACATTTATAGTTCTTTAGGGTATTTTTTATTTATAAATCAAAAAAGTGTTTTCTGAGAAAGGGTGGAGTTTTTTTATTCCAAAAATTTTTTATTTCCGAAAATTTTCAAAAAACTGAAAGTGATGTTCATTTTCATTTTCATGACGAGTTTTTGGATATTTTTAGAATATTTATAGGATTTTTCATGTCGTCTCTGTCAAAGTCTCAAAATTGGAAAAACTTTTTTTTTGCGGTCACTTTATGAGACTGGTTATAGAATGAGATTTTTTTATATTCTATTTTTTTATTCGAATTAAAAAAAATTGCATGTACAAATATATGGAATAAATTCAATATTTAAAAATTGGACGACTTTTCAAAAAGAATCCTAAAACACGTTAATTTTAAATTTTGAAAGGCCATCTAGTGATATACATTTAAGAGCCGTTCTGTCATATAATGACGAAATCGACGATTGTTTTTGATACAAACAAGGGTCATGAGACACCTCATTTGACCTTTCAAATGTGGTGCCTCATTTTAAACATTAAGTATTATTCGTCGATATGCAAAACCAAATTTATAAAATCAACCTCTTGGGGCAATCGGTTGGCGGTTAATAAATTTTTTTCTTTGCAATTTCTTGACTCAAAACAATGCCCATTATCTTCTACATTTCGTCACCAAAACTGCTCAAATTTAATTTAATAAAAAAGTTGTAAGGGTATTTTTTTCATTTTTCTTTTAAAGATATGTGGTTATACATATGAATATTTATGGCATGCTAAAAAAATAACTATATAGGCAACTTGACAGATACACTGTCATGCTAATAATACAATCTTTTCCATAGTAATTTAACGGGTTTTAAATTTAGTTTAGAGAGGCTATGTACACAGTAAAAAATCGGTGTGATAGCCAGGAGAACAGGCCTTAGTCGGCGGGTCTCAGCCAGGACAGGAGGGGGGCCCCGCGAAGTGAATTATTAATTTTCAACACTGTATATCAATTAAAAACCAAGTCCGAGTATTTTTTACTCGATAATGGTTAAATTTAAATCATATTAGAGAAAAATCAACAATAAATTGGTCTCTCAGAATAGAGTCAAAGTCGCTCAATTGATAGTTAGCAGTAACTCGGAAATTTTTTACAGTGTATTTGTGTAACAAAGCCTAAGAGATTCTTATTTTTCAGGAAAAAACATTTGGTGCTGCTATTAATGTCCTTATCCTTCTTGGTGACTGTTAAAGGGGATGTGTATTGTGAGATAAAAGAAAGCTTCGCCCATTACCCTAAATTAGATATAATTTGCAAAAATATCAGCATCGAACAGAACGAAGTAATTAACGTGAAAGGTCAAGTTCAAAATAAAATTGACAAAATTCAGTTAATCTCAGTTTCTGCCGAAGTACAAAGCAGTACGTTGCAAAATTTCCCTGAAGCTCAGCAACTGCTAATATTAGACAGCACTATAAAAAGTTTTTCACTGCAATCGAGTATTACCACTTTGAATGTATCCAACTCCATCCTTCCAACAATCACCAGTGAAGCGTTGAAGGGGAAAGATCTATTGTCTGTCAATTTTATGTCCAACTATGGCTTAGAATTTGAGAAAGGCGCCTTTAAACACTTGAATGCTCTGAGGGAATTAACAATTGTTAATCAAACTATACCTAGAATACAAAGACATCTATTCACAGGATTAGTAAACCTAAGATATTTGTGTCTAATTGGAAATAACATCGAAGAAATAGATGATGACGCTTTTCTGGACCTTTCTAGTCTGGAACGGTTATTCTTAGACGTCAATCCGATAAAGACATTTAGTGCAAATTTGCGCGGATTGACAAATCTTGAACGGCTGTCATTAAGCAACACAAATTTGAAGAGGTTAAATTTCGATGTTCTGGAGCCTGTAAAGTCGTTGACTTCGATTGGTTTACCGAGGCAATTATTGAAAACTATAAATGTCACCGATCTGGTGACCAGTATACCCGATTTGCGAATGGTTGGTATAGATTCTATGGAACTACAATGTCCAGATGTTATATCTTTTATGGGTGAACTGAAGAAAAAGGAAGTAAGGGTGATGCCAGTTAAAATAGAGGACATATGGTACCATTATCCGGACATTGATAAGCCATCAGTGTGCTCATAGTTTTTTCTACTTGTATAAAGTTATGATAAATGATTTTTGGCTTTTACTTTTCTGCACCGTGGTGCGATATTCGTGTTGCATTTGTCTTAGTTTTAAAGTGTCTGATAATTAAATTTCGGAAATATATTTGCCTGTCAATAATTAATTGTAGATTCTGAAAATAAAACATCAGTTGGGTAAGTAGTAACTTTTTCCTAACATTATTTTTACGATCCATTTTTGCATATAAACTTTTAAATTAAAATATTATTCATGTCAACAAATTTTCGGAATAGTTATGGATTCGTGGCTATCTACAATATTAATTAAGTGATATATTTATGGACTATATTGAAAACAACTACATTATATTAATAATAATTAAATTAAAGAAAAATACTATTATCTAGTTTTGAGATACCCTGATGCTTACGCAATTTGGTTTTATAAATTTGCTTCAATAATATTGTGAATGACATAAGTGATTGCTGAATTGCTTAAATTCGCTTTAGAAACTGAAATAAAAAGATATACATTAAACATGTATAAAAGGCATTTAAATATCAAAGACAACTGCAAAATGTTTCTAGGTTTATTTGTTTGTTTGCCACTTGTGAAAAAAGAAAAAATATATGGTGTAGTTAAAATAATAAAATTATACGTTAATAACGAATATTACGTACTTCAAGAGTAGAACCCAAATGGTATCGATTTAACCAAAATATTATTAGGAATTAAAGTAGACTATGGAGAAGATCTTTACTCTACTTTAATTCCTACAATATTTCAATTTTCTACTTCTGTGTAAACCATTTTAATTAAATAATAATACAAACCATTAAACAATCACGATGTTGTCATGACATTAACTGTCACTGTCACGACCTACCATATAACATTGTGCTTGAGTAATTAGGCCTCTCACGGCTAAATTAGTGAGATTTAGTTAAAATACCTTTTGGACCATATCAATGTCCGATATGTCAAAATATATTACAACTAAATCTGTAAATCTTTACGTAATTGGAAAAAGACAGAAATGCTGCAAAGAAGTCTAACAATTACAAGATACCTTAATTTCTTAATAAAAAACCTTCTTTTCTTTTTTCTCTCGCTTATTATTAGAGATGGACCCAACAAACCCTATAAGACTATGCTCGACAGAGAACGTTCTATACAAATATGTAAAAATATACAGGTATTCCATTTAAATTAACAAAGTTAACATCCGAGGCCATTTTGTTTGGACTTCATTTGTTTTTCTATTATAATTTTCGAAAACTTCATAAAAAATCGTGGAACTTTTGTATTTCACATTTTTTATAACTCTTAAAACAAAAAAGTTAAAGGGGGTCAAAATATAGTGAATCACCCCGTACATGTTTAATATAAACTGATTTTTCTGCTGACCACAGCAACTATTTGAAAAAAAAGTCACCTAATTAAGCTATGCCGTCTATAATTTTAATGAATATCCATTAATTGTTTATTTGCACTTATTAATATGAACACCACAACAAAAAGAAACTATAGTCAAAAATGAGAATCTAGAAAAATAAATGATCTCATTTAAACGCTTGTTCATTAAAAATTTTTATGGTAACAATCATACGTTTCCTTGAAAATTAGAAAATGCGTCAAAACACGTCATTTTCACCTACTATTCTACCTCTTTTTATGCGATACGTATACGTAAGTGGACGACAATTCCAGAAGTTCACAATAAGTTTCTGCAAATTCAACAGTTTTGACTACTGAAGTTGATTATTATTATTAGGTTCTACGCACCGTTAAAAAATCTTTTCTAGGTCTGTAAACATCCTGTAGACTCGACATTATCTAGGTACATATTTAATTTTCCAAGAGATTGTAATTCACACAATTAATTCGATATTTCAAATTCCAAAAGAAAATTTTAAAATATAAACAAACGTAAGTCTGGCTATTTTCTTTGAATTTGGATGACGAACTATATATTACTTCAAATAAGTAGATGTTTATACAATAAAATTGGACAATCAACACTATCAGCTTTCCAATTACGTTTGGGTTCACTTTAAATATAACCTTTTAAATTTGATGAATAATATTTCATCGAAAAACACAGTATTTATGTATGTACGTATTGAGCTAAATGTTCACTGTTCAGGTCTTTTCTATAAAAATGACAACGTAAGTATGTTTTTTGTCAGTTTAAATTTAGTTTTAGTTTATGTGGATATTTAAACATATGTTTTTAATACCTACTTTAATATTTTTTTTGACAGGTCGTAAAATCGTACTGTCTACAATAATAATTTATAAAAGAAAAAGGAATTTTAAGTAACTCTTTGCTTAAAAAAACAATCAACGGGTTCATTTTACAGATTTAGTTTTGTTTAACTACCCGACTTGTCAGGTTTATGGTGTAAGTAGTGCTATAAGCTATAACGTAAAAGAGTGTAGGTAAGTAGTGCTTATAGTGTAATAGAAAAGAAAGAAGACATACTATAATATAGAAAAAGTTGAGTACAGTTTTCTATGAAACAGAAAATGTCAACATTTCTTGTATTAAAATATTGTGACGACTGACCAGGTCTGGTAACAGTGCGAGGGCTTCGATTTAAGAGGACAAGGTCAATGGAGCGATTGCTAATAGCTCAAAGGAAATCTGCTGTACTATTTCCATATACAGGGTGTTTTTATACATGCGCACAGCTTCCTAACCGAGATACAGGGTGTCGAATTTAAATTTGTTAGATCGTTATTTCGTGACAGCAGGTAATAATGCAAGCCAAATCGGTTTAATTATTACTTGTAGATTACATAAAAATTTTGTGTAATCAGTTTCTTAATATGAGAAAATCTACTAAGGATCCCTTAGACGTCAAACAGTTGATTGCAGTTCAGAAACTTCATACCTATACAGTTTGTGGTTTTTGAATTGGTGGGTTTGGGGTTTGTCTTTTGTCTTTTCCTTCTCAAGAATAAGTATCTAAATTCATTAATCAGTATAATATTTAAAAATCAAAATACTAATCTTCTCAGAACCATACCCTGAGGTAAGACTACTCGTATTAGATAAAAATTTGCTTGAATCTTAATAATTTTTTTTTCTCAAACAAAGACTTTCTCTATTATAAAAATAACAAACAAAATTTGAATTAAATTACAACTATATGCTCAGATAATAAAGAAGAAAAATGGGATACAAAGAAGAAGAAGCGAAGCAGAATAAGTAAATACAGGTAAGAAAATTACCATCTCAAAAGAATTTATAACAATATACATACCCTGTATTTAATCTTTGGTAGCAGTAAGCACTAGTTGTAGTTATGTAAAACCAAATGTACAAAATCAACCCCTTGATTGACTCTTCTGGGACAATGGGTTAGTTTTTATTTAAAATTCCTGTTTCTTTTTAATTTGGAAAAAATACTCAAAACAAGTGTTTAACAAATAAAATAATATACAGTGTGAACAATTAACAACCAGAATATCCTTGCAACAATACCCCTAATAACGAGCGTTCAAATAAAAACGTGGTCAAGTTGGTTCTGAAAATTTGGACGTAAGGCGTAGCGATTAGCAAATGAACTTAAACGTTATCTGTCAAAGCGCTATATCGCCGCTATCAATTTGAATATTTTCGTTTTAAAAAGCGTTTAAAATGGTGTTTTCTCAAGAACAAAAAGTGTTTATCATAGAGTCCTTTAGAAATGGACGCAAGATTGATGGAATATGGAAGTATTCTATTGAGGAATGTTTCATAGAATTTCAAAATCAATTTCCCGGCGTTGTTTAGTACAAAATTTTTCAAAGTGCAGTTCAGCGTTGTGTTAATGTTTTTCGTGAAACGGGCAGTGTAACAAGAAAAGAAGGAAGCGGCCGATCTAAAAAGCGGACTGAAGAATTAAAAGAAAATGTCCAACAAATAATGGAAAATGCGCCAAGAACTTCTGTACGTGTTTTAGCACAAATGGTGGGAGTATCAGTCGGTACCTGCCACACAGTGTTAAAAAAAGATTTGCGTTTGTTCTCCTATCGGGTAACTTGTCAGCAAGAACTTCATGAAGTTGATTTTCCGCGACGGGCTGTATTTTGTGAATGGTTTTTAAACAACTACGGTGAACTTCATAATATCACCTTTTTTTCTGATGAAGCCTGGTTTCATTTAAGTGGTTACGTAAACTCACAGAATATGAGAATGTGGTCTTCTGAAAAACCAGATAACTTTTTTGTCGAGGGCCCTCTACACGCTCAAAAAATTGGAGTTTGGTGTGCTCTCAATCGAAGGAGGATTTATGGACCTATTTTTTTTAATGGTACTCTTACTGCGCAAAGGTATAGAGAAGAAATTATCGCTCCTTTTGTTAACCAGCTGGAAGAAAACGAAATTACAAACTTTTACTTTCAACAAGATGGCGCAAGGGCACATACGGCAGGCGAGACGATGAATATGTTGAGGGAAGTTTTCCAAAATCGACTAATAAGTCTCAATGCTGAACATGAATTTCCACCGAGGTCATGTGATATTACGCCGTGTGATTTCTTTTTGTGGCCTTACCTTAAAAACACTATTTTTGAACTGCCTATTCCTGATTTAAACCATCTGCAGGCTCGACTTATAGACAAGATTCGTGAAATTAACAATACCCCGAGCATATTAGAAAATGTCTTTAATTCTTTGAGGAACAGGTGTGAAAAGTGCTTAGCACAAGGAGGGGGACACTTTCAGCAGCTGCTTGAATTTATTGTTATAACAAGAAGGGGGACACTTTCCGCAGCTCCTTTAATTGTTTGTTATTGTTATCACGATTATTCTTTAAAATAAAGTTATATAGTCATTAACGTTATGAAACTGACAGCTGCTATACAGCTCGTTGAGAAATGAGGTTAAGTTGGTCGCTATAAGCTACTCCCTACGTCCAATGTGTCAGAGCCAACTTCGACCACGTTTTTATTTTGCCCATAAATAGGTATTTTATAGTATTAGGCTATGATGCAAAGAATTAAACTTTTGAGCCTCGACTCAAAGTAAAGCCCTGTATCTTCTACATTTCATCACCGAAATTGTACAAATCTTTATTTTAGTGAAGGTTATGTACTTGCGGAACAAAGCATAACAGATACATATTTTTCAGGAAAAAACATCTGCTGCTGTTACTAATGTCTGTATTGCCGGTGGTGACCCCCAAAAGGGATGTGTATTGTGAGACAGAAGTACACTACACCTATTACCCTACATCAGATATAATTTGCAGAAATATCAACATCCAGCGGAATGAAGCAATTGATTTGAAAGATCATTCTCAAAGGACAATTGTTGACAAAATTCAGTTAATCTCAGTTACCGCTGACGTTCAAAGCAGCACGCTGCAAAATTTTCCTGCTGCTCAGCAACTGCTAATATTTGATAGCACTATAAAAAGTTTTTCACTTCAATCGAATATTACCACTTTGAACGTTTCCAATTCCATCTTTCCAAAAATCACCAGTGATTCGTTGAAGGGGAAAGATCTATTGTCTGTCACTTTTATGTCCAACTACGATCTAGAATTTGAGAAAGGCGCCTTTAAACAGTTGCAGGCTCTAAGAGAATTGATAATTGTTAATCAAACTATACCTAGAATACAAAGACATCTGTTCACGGGATTAGTAAACCTAAGATATTTGTGTCTAATTGCAAGTAACATCCAAGAAATAGATGAGGACGCTTTTCTAGACCTTTCTAGGCTGGATCGGTTATATTTAGACGCCAATCCCATAAAAACGTTTAGTACAAATTTATGTGCGTTGACACATCTTGATCGGCTGTCATTAAGCAACACAAATTTGAAGAAATTAAATTTTGACGTTCTGGGGCCTGTAAAGTCGTTGTCATCAGTTGGTTTACCAAGGCAATTATTGAAAACTATCAATGTTACCGATCTGGTGACTAAGATACCCGATTTGCGAGTGGTTGGTATAGATTTTATGGAACTACAATGTCCAGATGTTATATCTTTTATGGATGAACTGAAGAAAAAAGAAGTAAGAGTGATGCCAATTAAAATAGAGGACATATGGTACCATCATAGGGACATTGATAAGCCATCAATGTGCTAATTGCAAGCTGTATTTATAGTTTTGCAATTTTGGTACAGACATTTTGTTTGATAATCACTTAAAAACTTAGTTTTAACATGTTAAGACAGGTCAAGCCAGGAAGTCTAGTAAATTAAACATGCAAAACAATATCACTCATAGTCCAGTCACTCAAGGTTTTTACCTAAGAATTCTTTATAACTGAACCGATTGACGTGAAATTTTGACTAAATGTGGGGAATGCCTCAAGGTACAAAAATTATATAGTGCCGAAGTGTGCTTTTGCCCTGGGGGTGATTCCCACCCCTTCTTGGGGGTGGAAATTATTACTCCCAAAATAACCACAGGAATCGATAGAGGAACTAATTTTAAGTAACAAATGTTATATAAAGTTTTTTGGATAATCCAATACTTTCCGAGTAATTCGTCATTGAAAATATTGATTTTTTACTGAAAAAGTGCTTGTTTTCGGACAGTTTTTTGCAAATAACTCTGAAACCATTAGATTTAACGAAAAAGTTGTACTAAACAAAAAGAAAGGTAATAAAAAAATAAATCTAATGGTATTATTTTGTTTATCTCTAATTGCAATATAAACCGAGTTATGGATTTTTAAACATTATTATATGTTAGCCAAAAACTAAATTGGAACCAGTTAACGTTAAATAACGCCAAAACCATAAATATTAGGAAAAAAACTATTTGAACCTTTTTTAAAGTACTTTGAAAAACCTTTAAAATGAGCTGTTTTAAAAGTCTAGAATGAAAATTAACGGAAATATGATTGAAATAACATGATAGTCTCATTTTTTTTAAGAAAAAATTAATAAACAAATCAGTGCCTTTGGCGACAGAATTAAAATTAAATGCAATCTATTTACAGATTTCTTCATTTATGTTCTAAGAATATGTTGTGGGTCTTTGGCTCACTTACAAAGCATGATTTCGAAAAAAACTAAATTTTTGAAAATGTTAATTTTTCAAATTTTTGAAAAAAATTCGATTTTTACGCTGTACCTTAAAAATTAAAGGGTGTACGAAAAAAACACGAGTAAAAAAAATGTAGCTTTATTTTTGCTGAAGATTTTGCTTTTTTATTATTCCTCTAAAATTAATATTAATCGAGATATCGCCATTTTAAGTTATCATATGAATGAGAGAACCACCCTTTTCGAACCCTTTAAACCCTTCAAACTTAAAAATGAAGGGCTTAAAAAAAAGAGATCAACTCAACAGTTCACGTAGCCCTTACAATTCCCTGCAAAATGAGCCTTAGTGCGATTAAAAATCTTAAAAAGTAAGAAAGTTACCGGCAAAAAAATAAACACATGTATAGGTGATAATTTTAAGAAAATACAATATAAATATATAAATAAATGTAAGGGGTAATTTTTAAGAGTTGAAAAGTTGCAATCAATTCAAAATTATTTAATACCAATGCACATTTAAAATGTTTCTACTCTTTCAATTATATTTTTTCATTTTATTTTCGAAACAAGGCGTATTTTTCAAGGGTTGAAAAGTTGCAATCGATAAAAAAGATTTTTTAATCAAGAAATCAATTTTTATTTGATAAAAATGCATGATTAAAACGTTTCATGTTGAAAAAAAAAATTTATATTATTTTCATCCAAAGGGGTGGTTTTTAAAGGTTTTTCCGAGTTGAAAATTTGGGATACATTAAGTTTCATGTTAAATAGCACATGAAATTACTCATACTGCATAAATAAAAAAGATTTGATTACATAAAATGCTTAAATTTGTATTTTTTCTTTTTTCCAATAAGGGGTGGTTTTCACCCCTTAAGAACAATAAGCACACCTAGTATAAGTTTTGAAGTGGGGGGTAAGATGAGCCTAATCCTAAATTTTGAGAAAAATCGATGCAGTTATAAAAAATTCTGAGGTATTACTATATTTTCAGCTACAGTAACTGGGCTATCAGGCAATGATCAATTTCAACGTCAAAACATTTGTTTTCCAGTTGAAATTTAACAAATTCGCTGAAACAATTCAATTAGTAAATAGAAGTTGTCACATTTCTGCAATATTTTCTATTTTTATGAGCCATGTTTGACAGTCCTATAACATTACGAAACATTTTGTTCAACTTGTTCAACCAAGGTCATAAAATTCTTGCACGGGTTGATGGTGAAGAGGGTATAAAAGATTTTCATGAGGTACATTCCACACCAGACTGTGCGAAACTTGCAGTTGCCTGGACACTTCTCTTGTGCTTGTACCACAGTCTTGTTCAAAATCTAGATGTTCCAGTATAGCTTCCTCAGCCCTCCTTCACGATTGGGCTGAATTTTACCAGTTTCGCGAAGCCTTCTTTCCACCGAGGCCAATGTTTGTCTATGAGGAATTGGTCAGTTTGGTTATCTTTGGTGGTATAATCTTACTGCAGCATTACTATTTTTTCTGGATTCGAAAAACACTTGGAGCATGTCGATATATTCGTCATTGGTCATATTATTCGCCATAATTATTCTGATAATAAATTAATCAATTGGTACTAATTATTGGTTGACAGAAAGTGTCAATTTGTTAATATGATAAATAACAATTTATTTGTTAGGACATCCGCCTACTTTATTTTTACAAATTTCCGCAATTACTCCTTTAGTGAACGATGACACATCTAATTTTTTTACTAGAAAACTATCGGTTTTATCGAAAAATTACAAGAGGTAAAAAAGTTGCGCAATAAATCAGTCTTCCCAATAACTATATTTAAGTAAATACGCCAATGATCGAACAAATATTGAAAAGTTGTCTTTTTATTAGTAGGATGATCATACCAAGTTTCGTGTCTCTAGCATTCCCCATGTTGAAGAAAAAAATTAAAATGAGAATTTCAATCCCCTCCTTTAAGGAGGTTTATCGGGCACGGAGGTACATCTAAAGTCTAACGAGAGTTTCTGTAGATTCGCTAGTGACTAAAGTAGTAAGCCTTTAGATTTGTTAACGTTGCACTTGGCTGACTCGCTCGCCTCGGCGTTCGCTCGCTCGCGTTCGATCATTCTGTTTGCTTGGACACCTGCAAATTTAAAATAATACGCTACGTCGAGACTGCAGCGTTGCCGCTATCACGCATATGGAGGATAAGTTAGTCAGTGATAGCAGTTTGAAGGAGAATTATTATAAATTATGTATCTTACAAGTGCCTAATCGATTTCTACGAGCTATCATACGGTTCCTTAGATATCGATTTCTTATTTGTACAAGTTGCTGTGGAAACTGTTCGTCAATTGCTGCGTATTCTAAGTGGAAAGACCAAAAAAATCTGCAGTCTCATAAGACTTCGTACTAAATCGTGAAAAATTATTTTATTAATATCTCGCCTCTTAGGTATCCAACTAGTATTAATTTTGTTTGAGGATTTTCTTCATATTATACTCTATTTTTAAACTAAGAGGAGTGAATGCCAAAGACAAATTTACACTGCAAAAGTTACTAAAAACTACCCCAGATAGCATCAGCACAGAAGATAAAACTGGATTAAACTTCTGTGGCATCAGACTATCAAGTATATACTCACTGCAAGTGTTTAACCTCATTTTGAGTACAATAAGCTTTCATTACTTTTAAATGAGGTTATTAAGTACCTATTCAAAATAATGTGCAATGAATAAATATCTAATTCTAGGTTTATTTAACTTTTATATATATTTTTTTAAAATAGGAGGTACTTCCTACATAACATTGAAAAACTGAATATGAATGAAATAATATACTACGAACCAAACATATATAAATGATTCCAGTTTTCACTTTTTAAAAACAATTTTATTGATTCACATTTTTACATCTAGCATTGGAGTAATTATATAATGGTGTTTTTGTTACTTTGAATTGTTGCATTTCTACGAACTACGTTTATTAAGTTACCGGATAATTGCCAAATAACTGATAACTGAACTACGTTCGTAATATATCATCTGCAGGTGTTCAAAGTAACAAAATAAGTTTTTATAATTTATAATATTATTGGTAAAAATTAGGGACAAATCATGTCTTTAACAATTTTCTGAATTATTCGACGAGTCAGTATCCATATCGCTCTCGCTATTATTAATTGATATAATTAAAGGTTCAATGAGATCGTCCATAATTCCGTCAAGTGTTCCCATTTTTTCTTCCTCCTTAATCACATGTTCTACACATTTTTTCCAGTTCATATTTGTAACATTATTAAGAGCCTCTATTAGTAGTTCCCTTACGTCCTTCAATTTATATGTTTTATTTTTGCTTGCCACTTCATTCTTCACCTGTGCCCAAATCAATTCTATAGGGTTTAATTCACAATGATATGGCGGTAATCGTAACACAACTTTATTTTCTTTTTTTGCCATTTCGTCAGTTATATACAAATTATATTTATCTTTATTTTGGCGAATTAAATATAATAATTGCGATCTCACCATACCTTCTTCAAATTCGATATTTTTTTATTGCAGCCATGCCTTCATATCAATTTTTCTTGTTGATGTTGTCGGAATAGCTTCTACTTTTCGACTATGGTATGATGCATTGTCCATTACAATAACAGAATTATCTGGTATTTTTTTCAAAAATTCAGAAAACCACTTTTCAAATACATTTGCATTCATTTCCTCGTGATAATCCCCACTCTTTTTGCCTTCGAAAACCAATAACGAGTCTTCAACGAATCCTTCCTCTGAGCCAGCGTGTAAGATAATAAGACGCTTTCCTTTACCGGACGGATTTTTTAATCCCGTAGACAGCCCTTCATTGAACGCCTCACGTTTGCTTTTAATATTAGTATCAACCCATACCCTTTCTTTTGTATGACCTTCATTTAACCATGTTTCATCTAAATAATAAATAGGTCTACCTTCAGATCTAAACTTTTTAATTGATATCAAGTAGTCAAGTCTCCATCTCACTATATCATCACGTTCTATCAACACACTTTTACGACTTCGTTTTAAGTATCTGCAAAAAAAATAAAATGTTTTTATTGCAATTATACTTGCTCCGAGATATGTCTTCAACCTTACTTGAAATTAATTTGTTTCATAAATTTGTATAATGATGAACGGGACATCTGTGGCAAATCCTGACGACTTTTTATTTCGGTTAATATTTTGTCCAAAGTGGGGATCTCATTTTTAAAGAAAAAGCTGTGTACTATACGCCTTATGGAATTCTTCATTGCTTCATCCAAACATGTAACAATCCCAGGTCTTCCACCACAGTGTTTGGAAGTAGACACCCTTCCAGTAGATTTATACTGT